CACAGCACCAGGCTGTTCAATGGCCCTCAGGAACTCTCGGGAACTCCAGGGTACATCAGCAGGGATTTACTGTTTGCATCTCCTCTCCCCCATGTACATGAATCCATGTAAGGGATAAGCATGCGATCCATACATTCCACAGTGCAACCCGCATGTTTTCTGCAACAAATATCGTGCATCTACTCACATAAGTGCAAGGATAAATCACCTGGCTTAATGTACATTGCAGAGCGGAGGTGGAAACAGTGAATCCCTGATTTATGTCTTTTTTTGGTCTTGTGTGTTGCACTTTGGAACAGTGGTGTCCCCCTTGATTTTTATTTTATTATTTTTTATTTTTTTTTTTTTTTTGGTGGGGGGGATAATAATATGATTCTTTGTATTGGAATACATATCTGATTTAGTAACACAGAACCACCTTTGTATTCCATTTGAAATATATTACTTGTTACACTGAGCATGCCCAAGGACATAGGGCTGGTTCACACCGCAGAGTTGAGTCTACATGCATGTGACAGCACAGTGGCTTAGTGGTTACCACTGCTGCCTAGCAGCACTAGGGTTGCTGGTTACACTCTCAACCATGGAGTTTTTCATGTTGTGCCTGTGTGGGTTTCCTCCCGCATTCCAAAGACATGCTTCTTTTGGCTCCTGTCTAAATTGTCAAAAATGGGGAAAGGGGGAAAGAGGAACACTGGGAAGTCCACATACAGTACCTAAAATTATAGATGAGGTGCCACCAGAGTATCTGGAAGGGTGCCACCTAGCCAACTTCTGAGAAACAAAAAAAAAAAAAAATAGGCTGCACACCTGGTAGGCTAACCTCAAATACAGTATATTATACACCAATCACAAAAATAACATCGGCGCTACAACATACAATCCAGCATCACAGGGGGCTCCACGCCCCGAAAAAGAGGGAACCCTCCAATTGGGACATCAGAGATGGAGCAATATCCACTGGGACTATCCTACCCCCGATGGTAAACCTCTATGAGCCAACCCCTACCACCTCCCACCCTACCAACCACTCCCAACCACCCACTGAACCCCCCCAAACCCACGAAGCACCCCCCCAGATGGAAAACCCACCTGTCCTATCACCCCCCCTCACAACAGGAGGGAGAGGAGCTGAGGGGAATTAACCTGCCCACTGACACCCCCCGACCCCCAACACCCGCTAGATGGACACCTATGCCAAATACACACCCGGGGCTCCTAGGATAAAGTAACAGTTATGCAGTATGATAGTACTAGACAGCAGCCATATAATACACAAGCGTTCAACAATAAAATGAAATACAAAAAAGCCTGCTAGGCTATAGCCGATAGCAAAAAGAGGTGACAACCTATGAAAATGTCAGTATAAAGGGCAATAGCCTCAGAGTCAATCAGTGCATAGTATGAAGAACCTCTTATATGGCCAATGCCAAATGGAAAGAAATGATGGTCATGCAACTGAGAGCAATCCACACAGAGTCAGTTGAAGAGCATATGGCACTTGTGCAGCCTGCTGGGATGGGTCGGTGTTCAGTCTGCTGGGATGGGTCGGTAACCAGCCAAACAAGATGTTGCAATCATAGGGTGAAAGTAAGACTTTTAACTTGGAGTCAAATGCTGTAATGAACAGTGGCCAGCCTGTGTAATAGGATATACTGGAGAACTATATCAGCGACATAGACGTGTGTAACCAATCCAGCCTGCGCAACTGCAAAACTGATGTGACTAAGGTAACAACACAGGGTTGCCAGTACTCACAGTCCGGTGGGACCCCAGGGTCCTGTAGAGATTTAGGCTGAGATATTGGTGGGACCTCCAAGTCCAGCAGGAGTTCCTGCCATCACTGCATAAGTGGCTGCCAATTCTCAAATACAGGCCATAGAAAACAACCCAAGTATGGGTATCCTTGGGATACTGTGGGAGTCCAGGGATGCACCATGGTGTGTGGAGGTGGCGTGTGGGATGCCAGGGGGAGAGAGAGTATAAATTGTCCCTAGTATATGAATGTGAGTTAGGGACTTTAGATTGTAAGCTCCTTGAAGGAAGGGCCTGATGTGAATGTACAATATATATGTTAATTGATAGAGCTATACCAGTACCTAAACTAATAAAAATGCATGATTTTATATGTGTTTTTAGCAATCTGGTACATTTTAGATGGTGTAATGGAACCAACCTCAGACTGCGCTTGGGTACTTCCGTTATAATACCGCTTCCCTGTCGAACACCGACCACAGCCACCACAGCCGACCAAACAAGACTAGACGACACCAATCTGTCTGAACATGGAACTCTTTATTTGAAACTCGAACTGGCTTTTTATACACTCAGAGGACAATCCCCCCTCCCTGCATAATGACACAGGGCAGGGTAATCTACACTTAGCAACAAGAGACACATAGGTATTCAAACTTCACATCAGCAGACAGTCCCATCAGGAGGGAGGGCTGCTGGAGACACCCTCCACTAAGCTAATACACAAAAACACATACATCCCATAATTTTGCTCCCAAGCAAGAACCACAATAGAACAATGGGATTCAACCACATGGCATTAAATAATCAACAACCCCCCACCCCAATATTAGGACAGATCACCCTGTACCCCTAACAGGCACAGGGTAACTTACACATAATAGGAATATGGGGAGCTGAGACAGGGGTCTCCCCACCTCTCTAAAGTGAGCTGGGTTCCAAGGGGCCCCCACCCAAGGTGACTCCCATCACAGATGGGTTTCACATAATTTAAACAAAAGAGCTGACATTAGAAATAAAAAATGTGTGTTTGTGTGTGTGTTTGGGGGGGTTGTGGTTGCGTTCACTTAGCTGTGTAAAGTTTTTTTTTTGCATTTTTGCATTAGTGATTAGTGGTATTTTCCCACGTTTTTCTGCATTTGCATTTTTTAGCTGTTTTTTTTATTTTTACCAAAAAAATTTTTTTTGGTCAAAAAAAGTCCACAACCGCCGGTTTGCTGTGTTTTTCAGCGTTAGAGCGTTTTTACAGCTAAAAAACTCCCCTAGAGACCCACTAGTCCTGGGTTTTTTCCCAGCCGAAAAATGTCCCAGCCAAAAAAACGTTGATTACAGTCTGTGTGCATGGACACATAGGATAACATGCTGGGGGGTTACTGGCTGTAGAAAAAAACGTCAAAAGCCAAAAAAAGCAGCTGTAAACACGTCAAGTGTGCATGAGGACTCAAGTGCTGTGCAAAATGTAGCACCATTAATACCATTGATTCTTTTTATACAAGTAAATGCGTGTACCGAATTGTGTTGTTGCTGTCAAAATAAATGTAGAATATTTAACTATTTCTGTATTTGTTGGATCCACAAATCAAGTAGAATGTATTAACATCCATACAAATAAAAGTCTACAAGATAAACATTTTATTCTGCACACAGGCAAGGTGTTAAATACAAACTAAAAAAAAAAAAAAACCTTTAACAGCTCCAAAAGCTGAATTTCAGTGACCATTGAATTCAGCTGGTGGATAGAGTATTTAACTGTCAACCTGGGCATTTACCGTATTTTTCGCTCCATAAGACACACTTTTTTCCCCCAAAAAAAGGGGGGGAAATGTCAGTGCGTCTTATGGAGCGAATGTAAAGCGGCCGGTCCAATATTTCTGCCACCACCATGTCAGAATATCGGGCCGGCCGCTCAGCTCTTCTCTCCTGCAGGACCATACCTGTTCCTCGCTCCAGCGCTGCAGTCTTCCCGAGGCGGCTTCTGTGACAGCTGGGTGCCCACTGCGCATGCACGAGAAGCCCTGCACTTTGTGAATGGTCCGGCGTCTTCTGGGACACATGCCAGGTCCCAGAAGGCTCCGGGCCATTCACAAAGCGCAGTGCTTCCCGCGCATGCGCAGTGGGCACCCGGCTGTCATAGAAGCCGCCGTGGGAAGAAGGAAGGACAACTCCACGGAAGTAGGAGCAGGTACCTGTCAAATTTAGGTACCCGCTCCCCCTCCCTCCCCAAAGGTCCGCTGTCTCTGGTAATCTCCTCCTTTACTGTCTGCAGTCTCTGGTCATCCCCTGCACTGTCTGCAGTCTCCGGTCATCTTCTGTACTATGTCCGCAGTCTCTGGTCATTCCCTGTACTATGTCCGCAGTCTCTGGTCATTCCCTGTACTATGTCCCCAGTCTCTGGTCATCTCCTGTACTATGTCCGCAGTCTCTGGTCATTCCCTGTAGTTGTCTGCAGTCTCTAGTCATCTCTTGTACTGTGTCCGCAGTCTCTGGTCCTTCTCCTGTACTGTGTCCGCAGTCTCTGGTCATCCCCTGTATTGTGTCTGCAGCCTCTGGTCATCTCCTGTACTGTGTCCGCAGTCTCTGTTCATCTCCTGTACTGTGTCTGCAGTCTCTGGTCCTTCTCCTGTGCTGTGTCCGCAGTCTCTGGTCATCTCCTGTACTGTGTCCGCAGTCTCTGTTCATCTCCTGTACTGTGTCTGCAGTCTCTGTTCATCTCCTGTACTGTGTCCGCAGTCTCTGTGTCAAGGTCCTACCTTTCCTCAGGGCTGTGCTGCTCCATGTGCTGGCATCCATCTTAGGTGTCTCTTCCCCCAGGAGTTGGCGGCTTATCACATATAAGTCTGCTGTTTGTAGCTGTCCATTGCATTCGTGTCCTGTCTGTTGCACAGCAGCAAGCTCCTGTTTGGTTTCTCATTGCTCTCTTGGATACCGACTCTGCTTTGGCAAGACTCCTTCCTGGCTTCTGACCCCAGCTCTGGTGACCATTCTTCCTGGCTACTGTTCTACCAAGTCATCCGCTGTTGCTGTTCGACTTGCATAAACTCTGTCTTGTTTTGTATAATAAACCTACCTTTAATTGCACCTCCTTGTGTGTCTGGCTCCTCGCTCCCTGACACTCTGGTCATCTCCTGTACTATGTTCACAGTCTCTGGTCATCTCCTGTAGTATGTCCGCAGTCTCTGGTCATCCCCTGTACTATGTCCCAGTCTCTGGTCATCCTCTGTACTATGTCCCAGTCTCTGGTCATGTCTGCAGTCTCTGGTCATCTCCTGTACTGTGTGTCCGCAGTCTCTGGTCATCTCCTGTACTGTGACCGCAGTCTCTGGTCATTCCTGTACTATGTCTGCAGTCTCTGGTCATCTCCTGTACTGTGTCCGCAGTCTCTGGTCATCTCCTGTACTGTGTCCGCAGTCTCTGGTCATCTCCTGTACTATGTCCGCAGTCTCTGGTCATCTCCTGTACTATATCCGCGGTCTCTGGTCATCTCCTGTACTATGTCCGCAGTCTCTGGTCATCTCCTGTACTATGTCCACAGTCTCTGGTCATTCCCTGTACTGTGTCCGCAGTCTCTGGTCATCTCCTGTACTGTGTCCGCAGTCTCTGGTCATCTCCTGTACTGTGTCCGCAGTCTCTGGTCATCTCCTGTACTGTGTCCGCAGTCTCTGGTCATCTCCCCCTGTACTATGTCCGCAGTCTCTGGTCATCTCCTGTACTGTGTCCGCAGTCTCTGGTCATCTCCTGTACTGTGTCCGCAGTCTCTGGTCATCTCCTGTACTGTGTCCGCAGTCTCTGGTCATCTCCTGTACTGTGTCCGCAGTCTCTGGTCATCTCCTGTACTGTGTCCGCAGTCTCTGGTCATCCCCTGTACTGTGTCTGCAGTCCATTGGTTCAGAATATTTTTTTTTTTCTTGTTTTCCTTCTCTAAAACCTAGGTGCGTCTTATGGAGCGAAAAATACGGTACTTTTTAATTCACCAACTGCAATCTGAGGAACACCAATGTGTAAATAAAGTCAAACAGTTTCTTTATAAGTGTATTGCACACAAAAGACAATCTATTTGCATGTATGGGAGCCACGATCGCACATAAATATTAGTTATCACACACAAATGGTCTCAGGACCAGCATTGCATCACCACATTTGTGGTAGGACTTCGCATGTACCCAGAGACCAAGAAATGACAGTTCCTTGGCCAAAAGTAAACACACAGCAGCTGGAGACAGGTCACGCTTACCAAACAGAGGTGTCAATTGTGCATATTTATTCATGCCAACCACTAATTCTGCTACTCATGGCTGAAGAGGAGGAAGCACTGCTGCCAGGGCTGGCTGTTTGACAGAGCCTTCTGCAAAGCAGAGAGGAGGAACATAACCAAGCGCCTTCACTAGCCATGGCTTTTTTTTGCATCATATGCATGCTTGGAAAACAGTCTGGACTCTGATGTCCATTGCAGGTTTCCCTTAGGGCAAGAAGCAATTATACACTTTTATGAGCTCATCCCTACCCTCAAGGAGCTCACATTTATACATACTAGTGCCAATTAACCTACCAACATGTTTTTGGAGTGTGAGAGGACACCCACACAGAAACCGAGAACATGCAAACTCTAGGCATATGGTATCATGGGTGGGATTTGAACCGATGATCCTAGGCAGAAGTGCTAACCACTAAGCCACTATGCTGCCCATAGCATTAACTAGAATATATAGTAGTACCATGATTCAAGAATTAAGATATATAGTTAAAAGTAGATATTATATGAAAATTCGAATTAGGTATTAAAAAATTATTTGTCATATAACAGAGATATAACTATCATGGATTTGAAGGGGAACCCAAAAAAAAGTAAAGTGTGGCTTCCCCCCAAAATCACTAACACTTTCCTATCTGAGCATACAGTCTTGCAGGCCAGGAAAGAGGGGTGGAAGAGCGAGTCCATCCCCCACACACACACATATACACACTTTTTATTTGTAATTTCTGCTCTTTTGTTTATTATTTTGTGAAACCTTTCTAAAGTGTACCAGATTGCAAAAAACACATCAAAATATGCATTTTCATTATTTCAGGTACTTATATAGTGCTGCCAATTTACACAGCTCTTTACATATACACTACTCACAAAAATTAAAAGAACACTTTTTAATCAGAGTATAGCATCAAGTCAATTCAACTCCTGGGATATTGATCTGGTCAATTAAGTAGCAGAAGGGGTTGTTAATCAGTTTCAGCTGCTTTGGTGTTAATGAAATTAAAAACAGGTGCACTAGATGGGCAACAATGAGACAACCCCCAAAACAGGAATGGTTTTACAGGTGGAGGCCATTGTTTACTCTACTCATGTTTTCTGACTGTTTTTCACTAGTTTTGCCTTTGGCTAGGGTCAGTGTCACTACTGGGAGCATGAGGCGATACCTGGACCCTAAGAAGTTGCACAGGCAGCCCAATTACTTCAGGATGGCACATCAATACATGCCATTTGCCAGAAGGTTTGCTGTGTCTCCCAGCACAGTCTCAAGAGCATGGAGGAGATTCCAAGAGACAGGCAGTTAGTCTAGGAGAGCTGGACAGGGCCATAGAAGGTCTTTAACCAATCAGCAGCTCCTTTGTGAAAGGAGGAACAGGATGAGCACTGCCCTACAAAATGAACTCCAGCAGGCCACTGGTGTGAATGTCTCTGACCAAACAATCAGAAACAGACTTCACACACACACACACACACACACACACACACACGGATCTTGGCTTAAACCTGCACTCCTACGCCCTCTTTGGACCAAGGTTAGTATTGCCTAATAGTAAATGCGACTATACCGATTCGACATTTACTAAAAATAATTTTCTTTTTTTTTAAGTCACTTTCCGTTTACCACAGCAAGGTCATAATTGTTTTAATTAGGTGAAATTTGGTGTCTAACATCTATTGCTTCACCTTATTCTTAGTAAATCAACACCATTGCCTCTTCACATCTACTATTGGAAGAAAGAGGATGCCCAACAAAACCAAGTGTTTATTTACAGACAGAGTTCTCAGCTGTTGTGATGTTTTTATAAAGTCTTTTTTTATGTATGATTTTATTATGTTGTAATAAAATGGTTTTGTATTTATTTTATCTCTGAAAATGATTGCAGTTGCCTTTAAAGTTCCATATCACTTTTGGGGGTCTGGATTATGTATTAAGTAAAGGAGGTCAATCAGAAACAAAATAAATGGGGGGGGGGAGCTGATTCCGAGAACACTACCACTCAATAACCATATAGAGGAGTTAAAGAATGGAATGAGTTGCCACTGAGGGGTCTTCAAGCCACATTGTTCAGACATTCATACATTTCTTTGTACAATCCATGTTCTTGAATGTGTCATACTGGAATTTACCATTTTCTTCCAGAATGAGATGAAAGGTGGAACTGATTTTTTCCAACATCTATGTTTTCCTGGCATCCAAATTAAAGATGGAATTTATCATAAATAATAAATAAAAGATTTGCTTTGTGATGTATGTGTTTCCTTTTTTGGTAGAGATTTACATTTACAGCATCTGTAATAAAGTACAGTATAAGTTTACTTGTAAAATATCATCACTTATTTAACGCAAATGATGTAGTGATTGTAATTTCATTAAACAGACAATTTCAAGCCATTATTTGCCCTTTCAGTCACCTGTACATAATGTCTGTTTTGTTCTTCAAGTACCTGGGAGCCCAGAGACTCAGAACATTCCACTAATGATGACAAGCAAAGGAAGATAACACTTTGTTCTGCCTTCTGCCAGATACCATATCTCATGATTGGCCTCCCACTGTAAAAGGAAGCCAACTTCTCCAGTTTATAAGGGATAAGAGAAGAGAGGGGGCAATACAAAGTGGCATCTTCCTATCCTAACACAATATTTGTATAATAGAGTGCCCCAGGGTTTGAGGTTCCTTGAATGCTCTGGAAAGCAGAAGTCGTATTTAAGGCATATGAAGGAGCTTACTAGTGTGTCAAAATATGGTTTAATAACTTCAAAATCAATGTAGGTACAGTTTAAAACTGATTTCTGGGAATGCAGGCCTCTCCTGCAAACGTTAACCCTGCAACCCCACTCTAACTGGTTGGTGGGTTAAAAAAAAAAAATAACCCAAAAGCCCCTTTTACTTATCTAAATCCATGGTCATGTGACATGGTCATCTTGAGTCTTCAAACTTCCGGATTGCATAGGTGGAAGGTCCTTTTCCTGAAATGTGCAAACATCAATACATGGGTGAGGTGGACACTTCTCTTTGGGTGTCCAGTGGTGCAGTCCTCACAGAGCAGTGTTGGATCACCGGTCTTCACTTCCAGAAGAGGTACCAGAGAGGGATATGTTATGGTGGAGTCAAGGAAGTAAAACAAGGTGTTAAAGAGGTTTTTTTTTTTTAAAGTGGTGTAGCACCTTTATAGATAGCTAGGGGGAGCTAGATCAAAAATTGTTAGTGAGGAGGGCTGAGTAGCAGCCTTGGTTTGATAGCTAGCAGGGTCAAATTTGGGTCAGAGCTGAGAGGCCCTGCAGACTGGCTGTCTGAGACTTCCTCCTGCAGTAGAACTTTGGAGAAAATCTAGAGGCAGTGGGCGGAGATAAGGATTGGCTAGTCTGCACTCTCAAGGAATCTTGGCCAATCCCCAACAGGAGGCTTGGCAAGGGGCCAGGACAGCCCTTAAGAGTTACCGAGCTTGCTCAGCAGCAGGAGAGTTGGGAGGAGAATTTCGGGTGAAAGATGGAGAGGAAGTGAGGTTGGAGAGAGACACCTGGGAGGGGACCCAGATGGGAGAGGGGATCAACTCCACGCAAGAGGATATTGGAAGGAGGAAAGCATGGGACTTCACCGACCCCCAGAAAGAGAACTACCTGTGGAGCAGGGAAGGAGCTGCCCAGCTAGAAGGCCTGCAACCGACCAGCAGCACAGGAGAAGGACGGAGTGAGTAAATCTGCACCCCCTGGGCCAGATAGGGGAAGGAGCACTCTGGTGGAAAACCTGATTAGCAACTACCCGGGACTGTCTTACCTTAAAGCAACAGGCACTGGATCCCCTGCTACGGGATTCACCCAGAACAGCTTGATTAGGAGAATCTATTGTCTGGGGTGGTACAACCAGAGATGCTGGCTAGCTCTCCATAAAGAGAATTTTTATGTAACAACTTGTATATAGTTTCAGGAAGTTGTCTTTGGTTCCACGTTTCCCTTGGGCATCCCATCCACCTCTCAGACTCTCCCAGTTCAAATCCCCTAATAAAACTTCAAAACAAAGATCAAGGACTGGTTACTGTCTCCTGGATGTAAGTTAATGTGAAAATATGTGTTGCCTGGCTGTGCAGGACTATAGGGGGACCCAAAACTTCATAACTCCTACGGGGGCAGTGTTACAGTGGGAATGGTTTGGAGAGAGATCTGAGGCACAGAACTTGCCTGGAGATGGATTTAAGCTATGAACACATTGGATATCTCACTAAAGGCCTAGAACAGCACATTTAATAAAGCCAGCCATAGATGGTTAGAATCTCAGCCAGTTTAGCAGGAACCAGCCGTGGTTGCAGGAAAGAAAATTTCATCGTCTATGGCTGGCTTAAGTATTTTTACCATAGACTGTGGCTTAGGAAAAGAAATTGAGTGATATATGAAAATCCTAAGGCTTATTTTAAGAGGATTTTTATAAATTTTGGTCCCAACATTTTTGGTATATCTTGCCTGACAATTTATCAATATAATTCATTGTATGGAAATGTATTTCTACTGTTCTAGACAGACATTCCAAAACATACTTCCCAAAGGCTAAATATACTAAGTGGATGTTATGTCAGTCTAATGTATGGGGAAGAATTGAAGCCCCAAGCTGTCTAACAAACGGAAGCTGCTTAAACGCT